GGCAAATTCATTAAAAAAGAGTTCATAAAAGTTGTGGGACAACACGCCCAGCCTGCGTCTGGGATTTTCTGATGGTTCCCGAATGCAAGGGTTGGAGGAAGGCTTCCCTGCCCCGCCCTGAGCCTCCTGAGGCCACCACCAAATGGGCGACAGTGGGACAATGCTTTCGTGCTGGTAACACCCCTTTTCCCTTCTCGCTAGGCCTGCTTCCCCCAAAAGCTCCATGCCAACAGAGAGGTTTCCATCCGGACCCAGGAGGGTGGGGCAGAGAGATCGAGACTGAAAGCGGAGGCCCAGCAGGCCTTTGCCCCTGCCCGAGGGGAAAGGCAGGGGCATCCGAAGACCTCCCCCGCACGCAGCGCCACACACACGGCCTTGCCTTGGCTTTTGACCTTTCGCAGTTGCGATGGATGTTTACAAGAACCCAGCCAGAGTCTGCCTCCCTGCTCTTCATTCCCGACTGCACCTGCTTCTCCCACTTAATCTTCTGAGAGGATACTTCAAACTGCGGACACACACGGAAGCCACTCCCAGCTCCATCTGATGCCACTGGAGCCCCCAGCCCGGCCGGGTGGGGCCCAAGGCTGGTCTTAGATGCAGTGACTATTTCAGGGAGTAAGTCAGAAGGAAAAGAAGCCACAGATCGTGTCAGGGGCTGAGGGTCAGGTGTGACTTAACTCATTTCAAGTTGCTTGTTCTTCCTCAAGTTGCCAGGACTGATACATCATGCCAGGGGAATGCCACGTTGCTCCTCTGGCCAGAAGTATTTTTGAAAATGTGAGTGGTATGAATACTTGACGTTGATAAACATGTAAAAGCAATACTTAGGAGGCTGACTTCTTTCAATTAAAACATGTATGCAACTCCAGCCTGTGGGGTCCCTTAGCCTCTTTTTTTTTTGGAAATCTGGGAAAGGAGCCCTTGGGCAGGACCTCGCATTCCACAAAAGGCGGAAGAATCAGGGCTTCCCCAGCTTGGGACCCAGCAGGGCTGGGAGAGTTCCCCCCAAGCTGGGCTGGCGGGGGGTCAGGCCAGAGAGGCCAGGGCCAGGCTGTGGGGCATGGTGGCCAAGGCCCAGTGGTCCTGATCCCAGAGACATGGGAGGCGCGGTATTCCCTGCGTGCCCACAGCGCAGGGAATCAGGAAGGGAAAGAGCAGGTGAACGGGTGAAGTTGGGTTGACTTGCAGTTTCATCAGAAAACAGCCATGATTCTCATTCTGCACAGTGCCCGATGCTTCTCAAAGCGCCCTCACGTACACCGAGTTACACAAGGCACGATGTTTGGCTCTGTTGTGTGGGTGAGGACACAGGCGAGGGAGGGTCAACCCCCCCAGAACTCCAGAGAAAAAAACAGCCCCAGCACCCCTTGTCTTCCTGTGCTAAGAAAGGGCATCAAGGGCTGTGAACAGAACACATCTGAGAGGTCCAGGAAAAGAGGTGAGCGGGCAAAGGGAGAGGTTTCTGATGGGGAAGAGGCCTGAGGGGAAACAGGATTTATTTAGTTTATTTTTAGTTTATTCCTCAGGGCATCGCTCCTCCCCCCCCCCCAGCAAATGGCTCTCAGAGAGCAATCCCAGCACGCTGTGCCTGTACCAATGGAGACCCACCCCTCCATGGAAACCAAAAGGCGAGTTGGCATCTTGACTCCTTTACAGGGGTGTGGCCTTAGGCAAGTCACATCTGTGAAATGACAGTAATTTACGTACCTCATAAGATGACTTTGTGTTAATAATTACAGAGGTGCCCCGCTGGGCTGACACCGTTCCGCATCAGGACTCACAGCTTGGCAAGCAGAGTCCACACTGGTTCGTAACCCCCATTTGCCCCCTTGTTCAGGTGCCTTTTTGCAGTGCACGGACCACCCAACCACACCAGACAGCCCTGCCCAGGGAGTTTTTTTAATTTACTAAAATACAAGACTTCCCAGAGCAGGAACCTTGAGCATTTTATTGAGTAGCCCACCGTGTCTTCTACATATTTGTGGAATGAACAAAACATAAGCAAAGTTGTGGTGAGGATCATTCATTCCACAAACATTTATTGAGCACTTACTGTGTTTAGTCACCTTGCAAGGTACAGAGGGCACAACAATGAACAAAGACAAATGAGCTGCCCTCTTGGAGCTCGCATCCTAGGACAAGAGCAGACAACCACAACAAATAAGCATGAAAACAATAAACCAATGACCGATTTGGAGAGTGGGGGTAGGGGTGTCTATTTAATAGGATGGTCTGGTAGACCTTCCTGAGGAGCTGTCCTTTAAACCGAGTCCTACAGGATCAGAAATTGTCCAATATGAAGGGCCTGATAACATTCCAGGCAGAGGCAGGAACAAAACACAGATTCGTGCATAACAAGGACAGCTAGCAAGTATTGAGCTGTCTGCCAGGCTCTTGCTGTCAGTGTCTTAACTCCTTCACTGTCTGCATAATGAAGAAGGTACTGTAATTATGCCCATTTTACATACGATGAGACTGAGGCACAGAGAAGTAATTTGCACAAGTGGTGAGCTGGGCACTGAGCCCACGTGGTCTAGCTCTGGGGTCTGCTGCTGGCCCTAGGCTGTGGTCCCTTTGAGCAGGAAGGGCTTAATGTGGTCCCGGCACAAAGTCATGGTTGCTAATATTTATTGAACACCTACTATATTCCTTCCACTGTGATGAGCACTTTACAGGTATCACCTTATTTAGGAAATGGTAGCTATCGTATAAGAAGTCAGAACTACGAATAAGCATGGCCTCTGACTATTACAGTTTGTCATCTCGGGACAGACTAAAAGCAGTGTGTGTGATGGCACCCTCCCCAGCCGGCGGAGGGGCGCTCACCCCTGTGGCTGCACACACAGAAGTCCCTGCAGAGTGATGCCCATGCCATTTAAAACCCAAGCCTGGGTCAGAATGCCCGGTGCCCTTCGCAGCGGGGCCAAGGCAGAAGACAACATCCCTCTCCGCAGGGAGTGCCAACTCGGCAGCTGGGTCCAAATCCCTCTGACCCTCCTGACCCCTGACTCCCACTTTCTGGGAAGAGGAGGAGAGTCTGGGAACTGGGCACCAGGGCTGGTGCCACAGAGCTGCCGCCGGGAGAAAGCCAGCTTGTCCCGAATTGGGACTTCTGACCAAGCAGGCCGTGCTCCAGTAAAAATAACACCGGCTGAGCTGGCAGCCCTCGGTGTAGACAGCAAAGCTTCCAGGTCCCTTCCAGGCTCGGCATGGCCAAGGCAAGATGCCGGCTCGACTAAGAAACAGCTCCCAGGTTAGAATGCCAAGTCAGACAGAGGCAGAGGGAAATGCCCCTCTGCAAGACTTACGGGGCATCAACCTTGCCGAGCCCCAAATAACGAATTTGCCACTAAAGCTTGGGATGCCGTAGGACGATCCTCTCCGAAGAGACAGGACTTGGGCCATGGTGGATTCCGCCGGGGGGCCGGGGGGGATGGGGGGTGGTAGGAGAGCCACGGCCCCTGTCCCACGGGACAAAGACCATGGAGCACGAGGTGCTATGTGACTCGCAAGGCTGGGTCATGAAAAGGATACCTGTCTCTGTGGTCTATGTCTCTATCTCCCTCTTCCGGTTGGGGTGACCGCCCTTCAACCCAGCTGCCACGCAATGAGGAAGCCCAAACTAGCGCACGTGGAGAGGCTCCCCCTCTGTTGTCGGTTCCTTACAGGAACCAAGGCCCCAGGCCCCCAGCCAGCATGGAGTCCCCGAGCCTTCACACCGCCCCAGCTGACGCGGAGTGGGGCAGAGACCCACCGAGCCCAGCCCACATGACCAGCCTGGGGGCAGAATAAAGTTTTAAGTCACTGCATCTTGGGGGGAGTTTGTGATGCGTTCGATAACCGAACAGTGGGTGCCCCAAAACGGTAATCACGGTATAAACTCAAACGGTGGACACACCCGTGAGGTTGAACAAGGCCTTTATAATGTAGTGAAAGACGACACAAGAGATGAAGGCCGAGAGGCCTTACCCCCTCCATTAGTGTCCTGTCAGCTCTTTCCAGCTAAAGCCCAGTGTGTCTGTGCCAGGCCGAGCTTTGGCCTCAACCAGGTTAGTGCAAAAACAGTGAGTCCTGCAGACACAAAGCAGTTGCCACTGAATCCCCACCTGTCACAGTTTGGGAAAGGCGCAGGCTGCTGGTGTCTGCAGAGCGCCAAGCGTGCCCTATTAGGAGAGCAGCATGGAGAAGTGCTTTCTCCCCAGGCCAGCAGGGACCTGGGGAGGCAGAGATGGGGCCGCCCCGCTCCCTCGCTCCGGCCTGGTCACCACTGTCGGGAGCATCCCACAGGGCCTTCCTCAGTGCTCCTGGGTGGACCGCAGCAGCCACCGGGCACCCACCCCATCGACCTGGGCCCCGCAGGGGGCCTGGAGCCGGGCCCAGGTCCGTCTGCAGAGCAGGTCCTTCCCGTGGCTGGGTGGGGGCCGACCCTGAGCCGGCAGGGCTGGGCACCAGGCTGCTTGGCTCGTGGGCCCAAGAACAACTGTGTCCACAGATAACCAGTTCAAGGTCCAGCGTGGTCAGCATCCTCAGAGAACATGCTGTGAGAGGTCAGGAGAAGGCGGGGTCAGAGAGCTTCAGGAGGGTGCAGCTATACACATGGACAGAGTGCTGTCCAGATTGGGGAGGAGGGGGAGTTGGAGGAGGGGGACATCACAGGCTGGGGAGGCACAGAAGTTGGGGGACAGTCATTTGCACAGAAACACGTAGAGCAAATTCCTATGAAGACCATGCAGGGCAGGCGGCAGGGGTGGCTGGGGGGACCTCTAGGGAAGCTCTTCCCCAAACTAAGGGCTATGGATGGCTAACCGCCCCCCCACCCCCGTCCTTCCCCCACCTCTCCACACCTGGCCACAGGCAGGAGGCTCAGGGTCCAGTCCCCAAAGCCTGTAAAGACACCTCCACCAATCACAGGTGGAGGCCCCAGGTGGTGCATGGTCTCGAGGTGCCCACCCAGCAGCCCCCCGGCCCAAGTTCTCCCTGTCCAAGCCCACCTCGGTTACCTCGTCCCAGGCATCATGGAGCTCATCTCAGGCTGATCCGTGAGTCTAGCTGCTGCAGGTGTTCATGGACGCCAAACGGGATGGTGGGCGTCCACATCCTGAGACGGGTACGGCATGCAGGGACCAGGTTAGAGAAGAGAAGGGGGCCCTACTTCTCTCCTACCAGCCAGCCTAGACCCTTGGAGACTTCCCACCTGGCAGAACCAGACTAGTGTGGGATTATAGGGATCGCAGAGGCCTAGGAGCCCCAAGACCCCTTTCTTTAGACCTGGTTCTGCTGCTGACGTGCTGTGTGACCTCCAAAAAGTTAGTTAGCCTCTCTGTGCCTCATTCTCCTCATCTGTAAAATGGGTCTTATAAATTCTACCCTAGAAGATATGAGGGATTATGTAGGTGAAAGTGCCTTGGAAGAATTTAAAGTACTGATATCAGACATCAGACACCATAGTGACAGGATAACACCTAAGTTTGAACCATATGAAATGGCCAAATTTGCCAGGTCCAAAATAATAGAATGTAAGTGATTTCATATCGTTGACCCTAAAGCATTGAGCATTTTCAGGTACCAGCCACTGTTCTAAGATTAACTTGAACCTCACAAAACCGCTTGGGGGTAAACATTACCACTCCCATTTTACAGAGAAACTGAGGCCAGGGTGGCAAAGTTTGCTCATCCAAGTTCCCACATTGGTGAGGACGAGAGCGGGATGTGAGCTCAGGGCTCACAGGAGCTGCACCCCTGGAGAGCCGGTGGCCCTCCACCCACGGGGGGCCGAGACTTACGCCAGTGTCTCCACATGAGGGCACTTTCTCAGGCTGGCAGCGAGCTGCTGGGCCCCAGCGGCGGTGAACTTGTTATACTGGACGCTGGGGAGAGAAACCCATCCTGAGGCCTGGCCCTCGCTCGGGGCCATCCAGCCCCCGACCAAGGCCCGCGCTCTCAACAAGCAGCCCTTCCCAGCCTGGCAGCAGGAGACCCCGCAGTACCCCCAAGCCCCAGACCCCTGCCACCCACTGCCCACACTCACTCCAACACCCGGAGGGACACCATGTCTGGAAGCACGTGTGCCAGGCTCTCAGCTCCCACGTCACAGATGCTGTTATTGTACAGGCTGCCAGAAACAGAGGTCAAGGCCCATGAGGATTCATGCCCAGCCAGATCCCTGCCCCATTTTACAGAGGGGCAACCTGAGGCCCAGAGACTCCTGGCCGAGATTTTCCCAAGTTCAAATCCCAGCTCTGGGGCTTGCGGCCTGTGTGACCTTTGGCAAGTAACTTAACTCCTCTGTGACTCAGTTTGCTCCTCCAGAAAATGGGCACGATAGAATAATCGTGGGGAGGAGTAAATGAGTTCATGATGGTATAACACCCAAAACAGAGCCCGGCACGTGGAATGACTAAATCCTAGCTGTGGTTATTACTACCCCCTGGGGCGGGGGGGGGAGGGGGGATGGTGAAGGTTATATGAGTTACCATAGATGGCATGACCAGCACTGGGGAATAGTAGGGGAGAGAAAAAAAACCAGAACCACTGGGCCCGCACGGGTTTCTCGGTGTGGTCACAGCTATTCTGAGTAGCATGGTAAATAATGCGATGGGTGTCGCCAGCGCCAAATGAAGCTATACACTCAGTAACAACCATACCATCCCTTTAACACACCACGTGCTCCCGAGGTGCTCATTTCAAGGCCATGACTTCTCCATGACTCAGCTTCCGGGCTACACTGCAGGGCTGCATGTAAAAGCAGCAGGTCTACACTGCAGCAAAGCAGATTAAGGCTAACCTCCAGCATCCCCGGATGTCACAGGTTGGCCAGGACCAGGGCCGGAACCAGGTGGAGGCTTTACAATTCCTTCCTGGGGGGGTGGGGCGGGGGTCTTAGAATCCAGGGGGGTTTCCCCTCCTCCCACAGACAGAGGATTCTTCCCATATTTCATCGATGCCAAGATGTACATGTTCACATCTGAATATCATTGAGATCCAGATGTGTCTGATCATCAATGAATGTCATGGTTTAATTAGCAGTGTTTTCTAAAGTGTCGGTCATATCAGATATTGCCCCCATTTGCCCCATATGCTTCTCCATTCACAATGGAAAAACTCCAAAAGCCCTCTCCGGACCTACGAAGGTCTCCCTGCATAATCCGGCCTCCCCTACCTCTCCCACCTCATCTCCCACCTGCTGTCCCTCATTCCCTGTAGCCAGCCACAGTGGCCCTTCTGGCAAAGACTCAAACTCTTTCCCACCTCAAGGCCTTTGCATCTTCTCTTCCCTCCTCCTGGAATGCTTGTTCCTGAGCACCTCCCACGGAATGGGGTCTCCTGACCTCCTTGATGAATTCAATACTCCCCATTGTACCCTCCTGGGCCCTTGTTTCCTCCCCCGTATGAATCACTATTTAAAAATATTTTGTTTGTACATGTGCTTATCTATTAGGCAAGAAGCTTGAAAGCAAGGGAATATTTGTTTTGTTTATAGCTGTATCTCTAGTTCCTAGCACAAGTACTGGCCCATGGTTGATATTAGAGGCAATTAGATGCCCTGCACAACTCTGGGGAGTGACAGTCACATAGACTATGATTTGCACAATACACAACCCATACAGCTGCACATGGTGACCCTGGCTGGAACGATAAATGGTGGATGCGTCAATAACTAGATGAACCAGATACCATCTCCCCTGGGAATGTGGCTCTGGCTGTCCTTGGCAGGTGATGAAGGCTGAGGAAGGAGTAGGAAAGCCTGGCGAGAGAAGAGAGCTGGCAAGGCTGAGCTGAAGGGCTGGGGCTCTGGTCTGAACTCCCCTCATCAGTCCTGGGACCACCAGGGAGCCAGGCTGGAAGTTCTCCAAAGCAAAAGGTGCTATGCCAAGGCCGGCCAGAAGGTGGCAGTGCAGGCACTGTGTGAGCTGCAAGAGCCAGCCAAGGCCACCAAAGCACGGTCAGCCTTCTAGAAACCATCACCACTGGACTCCGGAAAAGGCTCAGTCCTGCCATCCTCTGGGGCAAGAAGACCAATATTTAGTGTGCACTAGAGCCAGGCATTGCGCCAAGTGCTTTCCATAGGCCACTGGGATGGTACCCATTTTCCAAACGAGTAAGCAACTTGCCCAGTTTGTCAGGTGCATCGCCCCAGGCCCTTGCTATCCTCTTGTGTGGGGCGGTGGTGCGGCTCTTCATCCTCCCCCAGCCCGCCAGCTCGGTGAGGGGGGGCCCACTCACCTCAGCCTGAGGAGGGACGCAGCCAGGGAGGGCAGGGCCTCGGCGAGCTTGCAGGCGCCCACGTCAGTGATGCTGTTCTGGGACAAGCTGCGGGGACACAGCGACGGGGGGGGGGGGAGGGGGCGCTCAGGGCTAAACTCTCATGCCCCTCCCCATCCGTGCCCACCCACTCCAGGGCAGAGCTGGGGAACTCTCACTTCCCCACAGGGGGGCCCGAGCAGCAAACACATGTCTATCTACCTCGAGGAGAGTCGTGGGTAACAGGCTCTGAGCAGCACTGTGGGTAACATGCTGATTCTTAGTAAATAAAAAGATACTGTCCCACCCTTGGCTGCGTGGGATGTGGGGGTGAGGATGAAAAGAGAGGTCACGCCCCCCCCACGCCTGTTCTATGATTAGATAGCATCCTTCTTCTCCCTTGGGACCACATTTCCCAGCTAGAACTGAATACGTGTTCATGTTATTTGTTTAATGGCAGGTCTGGTTTTTTTGATTACTGTATCCCTGTGCCTACATCAGTTCCAAGTACATAGTAGGTGTTCGATACTTAAGTGGGTGGGAAAAAGACAGCAAGGAAAGGTAGGAGAGGGAGGGACAAAGAAAGGAGTGGCGGGGGGGGAGAGGATGTAGCTTACCCACAGCATCACCTAGAATACTATAAATTACTGGGCAAGTCTCAATGTCCTACAGTCAAGGAAATCCCAAAGTGAACCCTGCTGCCATCCCGGGCCCAGTTATGAAGCAGAGTGTGGACAGATTTTGATGATCCCCTCTACCGTTCGGTAAACAATCATCCTACATCACATCCATCCACTTCCCAAAACCCAGGACAGTTGTTTTTTGAGCCCAACGCCAGGCTTGGACTCGCAACCCTGAGATCAAGACCTGAGCTGAAATCAAGGGGTGGACGCTCAACTGACTGAGCCGCCCAGGCGCTCCTTTTTTTTTTTTTTTTAATAAAAATTTACTATTTTGATGATAATGTTTTAGTGACACATCTAGTCCGTCTCTTGTTTCACACCGCCCAGCGTAACTTCCTCTCCCTAAATGTTATTTACGTTCATCACTGTGTGCTTCATAATCACGGATTTATTTGTTTGCTTGTTTACTAGGAGTTCACTGAGGTCAGGGGCTTTGTCTGTTCTGTTTAAAGCTGGGTCTGCAAGGCCCAGAATGGTGCCTGCACATAGTAGGTGCTCCTTCGGTATTCGCCAATTAAATTAACAAATGAGCATTTGCATGCGTGATTCAATCAAGAAACGACTAAATGGGTGAGTGAACGGAAAAACACAAAAACCCAATGCAGCAGGAAGGACACCTGCAGCACTCACTTGAGAGTCTCCAGGGCCCTCAGCCGAGGGAAGGTGGCTGACAACTGCTCGACACCCTCGTCCCCGATCTTGTTCTCGCTCAGCGAGTCCAGGCTGTGGGTGGAATCAGACAGAGGGGCCATCAGTCCACACCCAGGAGGCCCGCCTCCTCCCACCCCTACCCCCCCACCTTGGACACACCATAGGCAAACTTTCCAGAGCAAGTCTGCATCCCCCGGGGGGCGGCTGACCAGTTGGCCAGCCAGGGAACAAGGTTCTGACTCCCCACAGACATGAATCGGTTTTTTGTTTGTTTGTTTTCCCTGGGAGCCCCGTGAGCTCTGGCAACTTCCTTAACCCTCTTGGGACCACAGTTGTGCAATGGGCTCCTGCTCCCAGATCCTGCCTCCTCATGGCGGTGCTGGGAACAGCATGGGAGTCCAGGGAGGGAAAAGAGTGCCAGAGGTCACAAAAGGACTCAACCTTTTTTATTCTTGGGCATTGTCTCATCTGTCCTCCCTTCCCCGCAGTGGGGTCATCTGGTCCTTCCCACCAGCCACACTGAGGAAGCCGCAGGAGAGAGGGAGTGAGGGAGGGAGGGTAGGACAGAGCAGGGTTTGAGGTTATCAAAACCTGAGGGTGCCCGCGTCCATACTTACTCCAGATGCTGAAGGGAGGAAAAGGCCTCAAGGATCCTCACCAGTTTGGGAAAAGCCTGGGGGCCTAAGACAGAGCCCAGCCTAGGAGGCAAAGAACAGAGGTAAGACCCCTAAAGAGTCACGGCTCCTCAATGTGGCACCAGGGTGGGGTGGACATGTCACAGAAGGCAGGTCCAGTCTGAGGCCCCCTCCCCTCCCTGACCGCCAGGACCCTCCTTCCCTTGATCCCCACTAGGTGGCACCCCAATCCCTTCACCAAAGCCCCCCAAGAGGCAGCTGGGCTCCTGGCCTGGGGAAGTGTTTCCCAAATTCCAGCCTGAGGACCACCACCAGTCTTGAGAAAAATGACTCTACTTATCTGCCATTCCATTTTTATTTTTAAATTATTTTTTAATTAAAAAAATTTTTAAATTTATTTTTTACTTAATAAAAATTAAATAATAAAAATAAGAAAATCTGTATACCCAACATGGGGCTCCAACTCACAACCCTGAGATCAAGAGTTTCATGCTTTACTGACTGAGCCAGCCAGGTGCCCCTGTGTCATTACATTTTAATAACAAATAAAACCATTTATTGAGGACTTATTATGTGCCAGGCACACGCCGGGTCCTTCCCTCATGTCATTTCACCCTCACAACTCTGAGCTAAGGGCACTTCGTATCCCCGTTTTACAGATGGGGAAACCAAGGCACAGAGGGATTAACTAATTCACACAAGGTCTCACAGGCTGGATCAGCATTTACACCCGACTTCCAGGGGAAGAAAAATAAAGACAGTGCAGGGCTCTTTTGTTCTGCTTTTAAAATATGGTTAAACGGAACTCAACATAAAGAACTGCCTTTTATTCTGAAATTGTGTCCTTTGGAGCGTTTTTGGCACGAAAATATTCATTCTTTGATAAAATTGGTCCCAGCAGGGGCTATTTTGCTTGTTGGAATGAACACACTTGATAAACATGAAAACATGGTAACTGCATATAATCCTTCAAATTTACTCCAAAGTATTCTCCGTCTTTGCAATCTCAAAGTCTGGGAACCTCGAGCCTCGATAAAAGGTCATGAGATGGGAGTCTGACGTCTGACTTAAACCTGGGCCCTACCACGTGGCTCCCGTGGGGCCGTGTGGGCAAACCCCTGCAGCTCCGTCTTGGTCTCCTCAGATTTGGCCCCTGTTTCATGAGCCTGTTGGAAGGATTACGGAGTTCGCGCATCCGGTATTGACTGCTCGCCCATGCGAGCCTGTCGCGGACAGGGCCATGAACAGAACAGACAGAAATCCTGGCCCTCGTTCGTGGAGCTGACAGTCCCATGGGCAAGATAGGTAATGAAAGAAATCGGTAAATTATCTGGTGTGGGAGATAATCAGTAATACAGAGAAAAGCACGGTGGCAGGTGAGGTAGAACTGTACTTTCAAACATGGGAGCGTTTGGCTCCGTGGAAACCAGAAAGAAGGGAGGAAGTAGTGGCGTGGGCCGTGCGGAAATCTGGGGAAGAGCATCATGGGCAGAAGGCGCAGGCAGTGCAAAGGCCCTGGGGCCAGACCCTGCCTATGAGGCTGGAGTCCAGCAAGGAGACCCCTGGGGCTGGAGTGGAGGGAGCGGGGAAGGCAGTACGGGAGATGCAGGAGGCCTCTTCAAGGGCCGAATCAGGACCCTGTTCCCTCGCAGAGTGCCTCACGGGTTCTGAGCAGCCAACAAGCCTCATCTCCAGGCCACTGGGGCCTGCATGGTACTGGGTGCGGGGGCTGGCAGTCACATACCCAAAATAGTCCTTTCCTTCCTTCCTTCCTCAGAACTTTCTTGGGGCTTCTGGCCTCCAGGTGGCTAGTCTCCTGGTTCTGGGCCATTCCACCTCAATGCTATTGTTCCCCAGAGCACACTTCCGACCTCCATCTAGGGGCTTTTTAAGCTAAAATTAAGTCAAAGCCAGAAGGCGCCCTTGGTGATTGTTTTCACACATTTCCTCTTTCCAGCAACATTTTTATTTCTGCACAAATTCTGGCACCTTGTCACTGTTCCAAACCAGAAACGCTTGCCTTTTTCTGGGGTGCGGGGGAGCAGAGATCAGGAGGGGCAGGTAACTGGAGGGTGACCAGCTAGGGACCTTGGGCGAGTCACTTAACCTGGCTAGGCCTCGATGTTCTCATCTGTAAGATGGGGAAGGTAGTGACTACCTCCCAGATCATATATAAATTGCACTGCATACACTGTAGGTGTTTAATAATTTCTTCCTAATTGTTAGGCAATTTTAGATCCCTAACAAAGATCACACACAAATTTAGCTTCTTCCTTTCTTGGAACAAGAGCCAGGCAAGCTTCAGCCCTTCGGTCACCTTCTCTAGAGAGTCCCCATGGCCTCCCCCACCGCATGGGCCACTGATCACAGCAGGGGGTAATTGTCTGTTTACACTAGACTTCAGGCTCACTGAGGACAGTGGCCTCAGTCAGTGGATTGTGTCTGTCCAATGAATGAATGGGAAGGAGCATGTTCACCAGTATTAGCATCACACCCGAGAAGCTCCAGCCCCATCCCTGACCAGCTGGGCCCCAGATACTGGAAGCTGGTTTCCAAAGGGGCGAGGCAATAGGATAAGAATGATTTGGGGGGGGGCGGGCACCTGGGTGGCTCAGTCGGTTAAGCGACTGACTCCTGATTTCAGCTCAGGTCATGACCTCAGGGTCCTGGGATTGAGCCCCGTGTCAGGCTCCAGGCTCAGCGCGGAGTCTGTTTGTCCCTCTCCCTCTGCTCCTCCTCCCACTCTCTCTCTCTCAAATAAATAAATAAAATCTTTTAAAAAAAGAATGATTTTGGGGACCCCTCTCCAATCACGGTGGCTCAGGCCCAGCTAATAATGCCGGATAAGAAACCTCACGGGGACCCGAGACAATTCACTCCTCTGCTTACGCAAACTCCAGCTTCTTTAGGTCCCGGACAGCAGGGAGCTCTTCAGCTGTGTCTTCCGAGGAATTCCTTGTCCTCGAGAGAAGGGGCAGTGTTAGTGGGTGGGGAGCAGTCCCTGAGCCCCTACGTGAGTGATCCAGGATGCCTGCCTCAAATTGCCGGGGAGACCTGCCTTCCTTGGAGGCTATTGTTGTCCCCCGTTAAAAAGAAATAAAACAGGACGTTATGAAGGCATTCTTATGGGTTTCATGGAAAGCAGGTGCTTACCAAACCCAGCCCAGACAGCACAGAGTAGGTGCTTAAACAGTGGGTGAGGACAGAATAAGAAACAGTTGTTCTAGAGTCAAATTTCTCTGCCCTCTGGATCTTAGCGCTCTGCCACCGATCACGTGGGGACAGTACTTGCCCTGCCCGCCCTGAAGGGCGGCCATCAGTGTCACTTCTGTTACTAGACGCAGAAAGCACCTCCTCAACCCTCAGCAGGGAGTCTCTGTCTGGCTCTAGCTGAGGACAAATTGGGTTCATGATGGCAAGTTTTGAAGGGCACGAGGTGATGGGTCCTGGAGGCTCTGCCCCCAGGGGGTGCCTGCTGCAGGAGATTCTGGGTGGCCTGGGGGAGGACACGGGATCTCCCCAAGGAGAGGAGAAGTACCAACGGGTCCTGCCTGTCCTCAACCTGCATGGTCTGAGCCACCTCTCACGCCCTCTCCTCACCTCTGGATCTGCACGAGGTTGCCGAGGTCTTCCACATCCTTTGGGGACTTGGCCTTGAAAGGCTCGATGGTGAACTTCTCCTCCACCGCCCGGAGCAGCTTGGTCTCCCCACGCTGCTGTAGAGACTCCCACAGCCCCACCATGTCACTCAGCGAAGCCCTGCGGAGGAAGGGCCTCAGACCCAGGCACAAGAGCCGGGCTAGACCATAATGGAGGGGCAGCTCCATGAAGGAACCTCCTACCTAGTCAGACGCTTTCTGTCCTCAGCTTCATCCCTACCTCCTCCAGGAGGCCTTCCATGACCACTCCAGTTCCTAATGATCCCTCCCTTTTCTCAGCCCCCCCAGTGGTTTTATTTCCCTTTTTGCTTTGGCTACCAGGAAGCTCAGTGGTAAATTCTTGATTGAACTACTACAATGGTATAGGACTTTATAGCTTGGGTAAAGTTTATTTGGGGGGAAGGTGGGAGAAATTTTCTGCAGATTAGGCTAAAATGATCAAACAGATCACAGAAGGATTTAAATGAGCCAAGTTAAGGAATCAAAGGGGTAGAATACGATCAGATGCAAGTTCTAGGAAGACTGCTCTGACGGTTGACTTTGAAGTAGAATGGAAAAGGGAGAAGGGAGGTGGGGAGCTCGAGGGGAGGCTGTGGCTTTAACCATGACAAAACAGTGGCTTGATTAGGGGATGGAGAGAAGAATACGAATTTGAGCCCACATCAGTCTTAGATCCTAAATGTGGCCCAGTGCCTCACACCTGTCAGGCCTTCAAATATTAGTTGAAGGAGCACGTGGGTAGCTCGGTCGCTTAAGCGCCGGACTCTTGGTTTGGGCTCAGGTCATGATCTCAGGGTCATGAGATCGAGCCCCATATCTGGCTCTGCTCAGCGTGGAGTCTACTTGAGATTCTTTCCCTCTCCCTTCCCCTTTACCCCTCCTCCCCCACCTCTCTAAAATAGAAAAAAAAATTAATTTAATTTAAAAAACCCCACATATATTGGTTGAAGACGCTGCCCTTCACTGGCTGTGTGACCTTGGGCAAGCCGCTATCCCTCTCTGAGCCTGGACGTCCTCATTTTAAAAAGGAAGGAATCACTTCCGCCCCCGCCTGGCTGCAGTGCATACTAAATGAGACCCCACCGCGATGCTCAGCACTGGGCACAGTGCCAAGACCATGGTGGAAGCCCTCTGCCCTGTCCCCTGCCCCCACCTGAAATGGGTGACGCAGCTGAGTCCCACGAGGCTCCCCAGCCCAGCGGGGTCAATGCCAGTGCTGCGGAGGTCCAGGGAGAAGTCTTGGCCAGCCGCCGCCAAGGCGCTGCATAGCACGTAGGTGTTGGGGGGTGTGAGCCGGGTGCCCAGGAAGGAGAGGCGGGCTGGAAGCCCCTGCACCACGTGCTGCCAGATCGCGGCATCGGTGGCCTCGTGCGCACAGTGCAGCAGCTCCAGCAGCCGCCCGGCCCGGAGCGTCCCTGGCTGCAGGCGCTTCAGGTACCTGCTGAGCACATTCCGCTTCCTGGCCCCCATGGTGGCGGCGGCTGGCCCTGCCAGGGCTCCGAGGCAGTCGGCGTGAGGCTGGAAAAGCAGGCCAGCCAGGAAGCGCGGCACGCCCTCCAGCCAGTTGTCATAGGGCCTCTTCTTCCTCGGGGTCAACGCCAAGTACTGTGGCAGCTCCTTGTCCTTGATTTCAGTGCTCAGGGCCAGCCACACGGCCCCCAGGAAGCACTGCAGGAGGAAGCTGGAGAAGGCCAGCTCCACATCGGGGGCGCCCGGGACGGGCTGCACCAGGCCTTTGGCCACGGCCCAGGCCCTCACAGTGGCCGATGGGAACTGGCTGCCCTGCAAGGTGCCCTGGTGTTTGCGGCCCAGCTCCCAGGCCAGCCTGGCCAGTCCTGCCAGGGCCTCCGGGGGGCTGTCCCGGGCCGCGGGGCCCAGCAGGCCCACGTAGAGTCCCGTGAGCGTGGAGGGCAGCTCAGCCTTGTCACCCAGCTCTAGCAGGGCCTCAGAGAGCCGGCACACGGCCCGGCACACGGTGGGGCTGTGGCTGAGGCTGAGCAGGAACGGCTGGCCCCGGAGGAGGGCCAGGGCTCGCTCCCGGTGCGCGGTCGCCCCAGTGCACTCCAAGTAGCGCGTCATGTAGGTTTCAGCCTGCTCGGCTGAGAAGCCGGCCACCTCGAACAGGACGTCGGCCTTGCTCAGGCTCTGGGCCAGGCGGCCCCAGGGCCGGGCCGTGAGCAGCAGGGTGCAGCCTCGAAGCAGCTTCCGCTGGAAGAGTCCGGCCAGCAGCCCCCGGAGGGAGTGGGGTTCTGTGGACATGGGTCCGCCCGCGCTGTGCAGGAAGCCATCTTGGCCTTCGAGCCCCTCGAAGGCGTCCAGGATGAGCAGAACCCGGTCGGGCCGCCTCAAGACGTGGCCGAAGACCTCCTCGTCCATGGGCCGTGGCTGGGGGCCCAGGCAGAAGAGCAGATCCTGCAGGCGGTAAGTGTCCCCTTTGGCGCGGTCCAAACAGTGGCAGGGGAGGTAGAAGACGAAGTCGTACTGGGGCAACTGGCCGCAGGCCCAGGCCCGGCTCACTTCCCGGGCCCAACGGCTCTTCCCCTGTCCTGCTTTGCCCAGCACGGCGATCACCTGTGTCTCCCGTGGCCGCCGGCGGTCCCCGGCAGCCCCCAGCACCTCGGCCAGACCCCCGCGGGCCAACTGCCTCTCTGCCCAGTCCGGGGTGGCCAGCTCCCTCTCCTGGCTTTTGCCACTGCTTCTCTCCAGCCGCGCCTTCACCAGCTCCACCTCCACCAGGATGCCTTCCGGGCCTGCGAACTCAGCCCGGTACTCGTCCCGTAGGGAGCTGCAGAACCGCTCCACGCTCTCTGCAAAGGCCCAAAGGGGGGGTGGGTGGGTGGGTGGGTGCGCGCGCGCGCTGGGCGGGGAGGGTGCTAGCGCCACCACGAGGCCAGCCGGACCACCAGCTGCGCCCGTCAGTGCCCGTCCACTGCCTTGCTCAGTTACGCAGACATTCATTCATTCACTCATTCACTCTCACACCCGTCATTCACCTATCTTCTCCCTTGTTTATCTATCCGCCCCTTCATTTACTCACTAACCCCCTTCTGCTTTTGCTCCCTTACTATAGGAAGGCCATGGGGTGGGGGGCAGTGTTAAGGGTTAAGAGAGTGGAATCCATGTATCTGGTTCAAATCCCAGCTCCACCGCTAATTACTGTAATCTTGAGCATGTTATAGACTCTGCTACGTCTGCAGGGATGCCCCAGGAGTCCCTCATCTGCAACAGGGGGATAACATTAGGGCTGTCTGCGACATGCATGATTTAACGTATCTGCTTAGAAGAGCACGCGGCACGGAGTAAGACTTAGGAGCTCGGTTATCTTCTCATCACCCCACCTCCCATTGCCCCCGTGCCCAGAGTCAGCCCCCTCCTTCATCCGTCTCTCCCCTCATTCATTCCCTTGGCCTGGAAAACAAGGTGCCAACACCTGGCATGGGCTTATGAGGGCAGGACCTCAGCACAGTGACTTGCTCATAGAATAAAGTGAGCAAGTGAACAGATGAATGAGCAAGACCGCCAACAGAGAAGGGTTGAGTACGTGTTGAGTGAGTGAGTGAGTGAGTGAAAGAGAACCAGACCTGGGCTTCCACCTCCTGCCCCAGGGCACAGAGAGTCTGCCACCACTCACCAGGCCATTTTGGAGGCTTGCTGGAGATCTCGTGAGCTGCCTGGCTTTGGATAGGGGACATCTGGTCCTCTGGAGATGAAGAAGTTCGGGTGAGGGGACTGCCTGGGGACCTTCCTGCCTCGGGGACATTCAGTCCTCTGAGGCTCCCAAAGGCAGAACCAACGGGCGGGGGCTGGGTCTCCCCTGAGACAACAGTCATAAGGTGGTGACCTGAGGCTGTATCCTACTCAAAGAGACCCTTAACTGGACCAGCTGTGCTTTATTATTTGTTTAAAGATTTATTTATTTATTAGACAGAGAGAGACACAGCGAGAGAGGGAACACAAGCAGGGGGAGTGGGAGAGGGAGAAGCAGGCTTCCCGCTAAGCAGGGAGCTCAATGCGGGGCTCGATCCCAGGACCCCGGGATCACGACCTGAGCTGAAGGGAGATGCTTAACGACTGAGCCACCCAGGCACCCCTAACTGGGCCACTATGCTTTAAAAATTTTTGCCAATGCTTTAAAAATCACACTATGTAAAAACTGAGATTTATAGATTCTGCTGACAAATCAGAAGATCTGGGCACACTGGGTCTGGTTTCGTGCTGGGTGGCAAGTAGCTGAAGGCCAGTGGTCCGGTTTAGGTGGAACATGTGTTCTCTTATGCCTTCCACTCCCCAGAGACCCCCCTGCCTTGTTTTACCCTTAAACGCAGCCTGCCTGTCCCTGTGGGTAGCCTGGTTCGTGGACCTGATTGAGACAATTCTTCCCCCAGGGCCTCCGTCCTCCTTCCTGTAACTCTCACCGGCCCCCAAGGGTCCTTACCTGTCGTATTTGCACGGGAGGTCAAAGCTGGTTCTGGCATTCCAGGAAGGTCAGCTGCAGACGGGGCAAAGGGGCTGGTGGAGCCGGGCCGATCTGGGGACTTGGGGAGGCTCTGCACAGCTGGGCCACTGGAAGGAAGCACTTGGCTGGCCTGGGGCATCTCGCCTACATTGGGACAATGGGAAGGGTTAGAACAACCAGTTATCCACCCAGGACCCCACTTGGGTCACCCTCACTCCACCCCAAAGGAGGCTGTGTGGCTTGGAAAGTCTGGGGAGGAAACTGGGGAACCTCCAGAGGAAGACATTTCAGGACAGGACTGAGGAAAGAACTCTGGAGTTACCCCTAGCTCGCTGAGACTTGGTTTCCCCACCTGTGAAATGGGCACAGTCAGCTCACAGGGAGCTTAGGGTAAGTGCTACTATAACATTCGTCCTGCTATACGATCAGTGCTCATTTGTCTGGATGTCAGGTCAGGGATGCTCCCTTCCTTCTGGACCACCAGCACATTATACGAAAAACTGGCATACAACATTTAAAGGATGCTCTTGGATTGGGTGGAAGTCTCCCCACCTGACTTCATCCTCTCTCCCATCCCTGAGAGCCCAAAGGAGACTTGCCCTGGGCAATTCACAACTCCTCAGTGTGGGAGGTCAGCAGGGACCATCCTGCCAATCAGGAAATAAGGCAATTCCAAAAAAGCCACGCAAGGATGCACACCAAACGGTTCACCACTCTATACTAAGAGAGTGCAGAAGAGCCTCATTAACTCTTTTTTTTTTTTTAAAAGATTTTATTTTTGAGAGAGAGAATGAGAGATAGAGAGCATGAAAGGGAAGAGGGTCAGAGGGAGAAGCAGACTCCCCGCCGAGCAGGGAGCCCGATGTGGGACTCGATCCCGGGACTCCAGGATCATGACCTGAGCCAAAGGCAGTCGCTTAACCAACTGAGCCACCCAGGCGCCCGAGCCTCATTAACTCTTGTAAGCATCTCATTTTGTTTGGCTTGTGGATGAGCATGTATCGATGTGATTTTTAAATATAATAAAGTTTAATACAAAGGAAAAAAGGCAAAACTAAGGCTTGGTGGGGTAAAGTGATACATAGGAAGCTACAGCCCCTGGGTGGGTGGGTCACTCACCCTGACCACCCTGGGGACCTCTGCCCTTATGCTTTGATATTTGGGAAAGGGGGTGGGTTGGAGAAGGGTGTTCTGGGGAGGGAGGATCATGAGAAGGTGCCAAATGCCTGGGGTTGGGGGAGGACAGGATCAGGGAGTAGTCAGGTAGCTGCGAGAGGGGATGGGGGGCAGGCTTTGAACACTCACCTTGATAGATGACCATACCAGACACCCCCATCCCAGCCCCTGAGATTTGCCAGAGCCCCTGGGGCAGAGAGGGGAGGCCAGGGATGATCTGGATACATCCAGCAGGAAGACTCAGGTGGCTCAGCAAGGAACTGGAAGGGTGCACTGGGGAGACAAAGGCAGTGAGGTGGGATCCTCCAGAGCACCAATGTTCGTAATCCTGTTCTCTGATTATTCGATTAAGATCTGACTCCCTTTCTAAAGGGCAGGCTCCTCTGTCCCCCAGAGCAGCAGCTGCATCTGTCTTGCCCATGGTGGTGTCCCCAGCACCCGGCAGAGTGGCGGGCACAGACAAGGTGCTCAGTACATAGCTGATGAATGAAGAGGGCTGATGAACAAATGCCCTAATAGGTGGGGACTCCCTGCTCTATCTCCCAGGGATGTTTCTTTCCAAGGCACATTCTCTGGCACAGGCTGAGCTGACGGGGACCCTGAGGATGGGACTAGCTGGGATGGAAGTGGGTGACACCAAGGGGGGGTTCCTGTCCCTGGTGGGCCCTACTGTGGCCACTCTTCAGGCACTCCCAGGGAAGGGGGGTAGGAAGCCTACCCTCTCCAAGTCCCTAACGTACCAGGCATCAGGACGGTCTCCTCCAGCCAGCTCTGGCCGGATGCTGGCTCCTTGTTGAACACAGCAGGTGGTGACAAGCAGGGCAGAGCTGCGGAGTCACTCACTGACCCGACCAGGAACGTGCCAGTCACCATGGGCATAGCGAGGGGCTCGGCTGTGAGCAAGACGACCATGTTAGATCCAGGGGACCACGGGCAGGATCTGAGTGGGCGCCTGGTGGGGCCCTTCTGGGAAGGATGGCAGAAGCACAATAGATCTCTCTCCGGGCGATGGGAGGGAGCTCCCGTCCTCTTCTCAGCCCTGGGTGAAGCTGCTTCGTCTTCCTCACTCTGTGCCACTCAGAGGCTGGTCTCCCCCACTTTGCAATAACAACAGGGTGGGATGAGAGGATAGATGGAGGGAGAAGAGGCAGCCTCTGGTGGGCGGAGACGGTGAGCCTGGGGAAGAGGCTCGCTGAGGCATGCGGCTCTCGGGAGGCCAGAGGGCACTGGGTGACCAGCTGACCCTAGGTGACTCTGTACTCCAAAAGGGGAAGTGTGGTCTGGAGGGGCAGTGGAGTAAGGCGGGAGGCAGGGTCTCAGCTCTGACTCAGAATTAAGAAGGGGTGTTGGGGGAGAGGCTTTGTAGGAGAAGTTGAATCTCCCACCAGCCTTCAAACTGCGGAGCAGGGTGCTATGGAACCGTGATCTTGGTTTGAATCCCAACTCCGCCTCTCACTAGCTGTGGGATCTTGGACAAGTGACTTCACCTCTCTGAGCCCTGGCTTCCCTGCCTCACAGTCTCCCCGGGTGCACCCCGCCCTGCTCACCCAGCTTCCTGTGCTTCAAGTCCACAGACAGCTCCTCTGGGAAGGCTGCAGAGGAAATATCATGGTCAGCCACCCCAAGGAAGGTGTGGTCCCAGCCACGAGGGGCCCATGAACCCCAGCAGCCCACATGGCCTTGCCTTAAATGGCTGGAAAGTGGCCTTGCAGCTCCCAGTGCCCCCCCCTCCTCTGACCCTTCCTGCCCTGCTTGTCTGCTTGTGCCCAAACCCCACCTTGAAGACCCAGGGCAGCGAGGGACTGGAAGAGGCTGAAGCGCAAAGGGGACACAAGACGAGTTTGAGTTTAGAAAAATAAAAATGAAAACAACAACAACCTGCTTAGGGTCCCTCCCTAGCCTTGTGTCTTTGCAACAGAGCCTTTCTGAGCCTTTGATCGCTCATCTGTGAAACAGAGGTGGGGCTTCCTCCTTTGTAGGAGGACATGGAAAATTGGTGAGCTAGGGACCAAGTGCCAGCACAGCGATGGAGGGAAACCCTATGTGTCCCCGAGCAAGGGTCTGGCGAAACAAATCACAGTTCACCCACCCAGTGAATTTCCACACAGCCCTAAAAAAGAGCAAGAATGTTAACGGACGTATGGGGAAGTGTACTGGTGTCTGCAATTTACTTTGAAATGTTCCCAAAATAAAACAAATGGATAAGTGGGTGGAGAGAGGGATGGACAGATGGAGGGAGATGTGTTAAGGCAAATACAGCCAAACATCAACTGGAGACTGTGCTACATGGTTGTTTGCAGTACAATTCTTTCACCTTTATTCTATGTTGAAAAGTTTCATAGTAAAATGCTGGGGAAAATATTTATCAAATAAAACAAACAAACAAAAAAAGCAAACCAGCAAGAGGAATTCCCTGGAGGGAACCGGCAACATAGGCTGTTTTCAGGGAGGGAAACTTAGGGTCTGGGAGACAGGGGTGGAAGGGAGATTTTTTTGTGTTCACTGAATATCCTTGCACCTTTTGAACTTTTATAGCATGCACCTGTTTCACCTGTTGACAAATGAAGAAATAGGTACAAGTCTGACACATGGTCTGGAGCATAGGAAGCTCTCACTCGACTGTTGAGCTCATTTTACAGATATGTTCATTCACTGGACATTTATTGAGGCTCTACAGCAGGCCCTGTGTTAGAACTTAGTTAATGAGTAAGGAAGACAAGATCGCTGTCCTCACAGTGGGGAAATAGTCAAAAGGCAATTAAAAAAAAAAAAAAAAAGTCCAGATGGTGGCAAGCACTAAGGGGCTAGGAGAGACACAGACAAGGTGAAAACCAGCGAGGTGATCCATGTGGAAGGGTGGTCAGGAAGGCCTTCAGGAGGAGGTGACATGTTAGCCAAGTCCTCAAGGATTCAAAGGAGCCTGCAATGCGAAGAACTGGGAAAAGGGCATTCCAGATAGAACTGCAAGTGCAAGAACCCTGAGGCTGGAGGCTGGGAAGGGTATGTGAGTTCTAGGAATGTAGGAAGCCAGTGTGGCTGGAGTGTCCTAGCCCAGGGCAAGCTTGGAAAGGTGGGAAGGACCAGATCATATAGGCCTTGTGTATGTATTTTGTAGCCCTTGGAGCATTAGCAGGACAGCAGAATGATCTGATTTGCATTTAAAAGCTTATGGGGACTGCCAGTAAAGACAGATTAAGGAGAAAGGGAGACGGAGTAGGAGGCTCAGAGAGGGACAAGCACTTGCTCAAGGCCACACAGCCCATAGATAGCAGACCCAGGACTCAAACCCAGTTCTTGCTGACTCCAGAATCTATGGTTAAAGACACCTCCCTCAAACACAGAGATGACAACTAAGGATGAAAGAGAAGCCAGAGCCCAAATGGCCTTCGGGAAATGGCAATCAAGACAGCCAGGGGCAGAGACACACCAGGAGAATGGCCATTAGCACCTGGGCTGTCTGCTTCTTCCCTGGGTCACCAGGGAGCAGCAGTGAGGGGAGTCGGGGATAGAACATCCAAACCCAGGCAGAGCAGACAGGACTTAACAAGGGAAGCCACTGGGAGCCATAGCAGTGTCTGGAGCCAAGGCAGGACCAGGAGTCAAGCAGGCTGAGGTCAGATCAGAGAGGGGCTTACTCACATCTTTTCTGACTTTTCTGCCCTGCTTCCTCCAGCACCTCGACACTCTCGCTGATCATTTCTTCCAATCCTATGTGCTCGACTTTGGGGAAAAAAAAAAAAAAAAGACACCAACATGTAGTCAGTGGATGCCCAAAGTGAGCCTTCATTGTCCCTATGTTGGGGTGGGATCTGACCGCCCTTCAAAGGGTGGTCATCAGGTATTATGATGCTCCCCAAGGAACAAGGAAGGAAACGCAGGCTGAGCCAAGAATCCCCCAACTTACTGAAAATGTCTTTGCCCAGACCGTCCAGTTGGGAGTCCTGAAACACGTACTGGTCCAGTTCCGCTGCCCAGACAAGGAAAAGAACAGTCAGTCCATGAGTTTTCTGAACACCTCTTGTGTGCCTGGCCTTGGGGTAGGTACCAGGGAACTGTGACCCTCCAGCCTTGGCACACACGGGGGTGCTCAATCAGCATTTGCTGAATGAATGATCAAATTAATGAAGGAACCCTGAACCTTCATGGGCTCTTAATCTAATTGAAGGGATGATATGCATCCATGAAAACTTAACTATTGTTATCAAGTAGTACAATGCAGTGTGGTAGAGTTGTCATGGGCTTTAAGTTTAAATCCCAGCTCAACCCCCAATTAACCCTACTAGCTGTGCAAACTTGGACCAACTGCTTAACCTCTCTGGGACTCCACATCCTCATCTGTGTAATGAGAAAAAAAAATGCCTGCAACCCAGGGATGGATGGTGAGGATTAGAGGCTCCACCTCTAAGTTAAAGCACCAAAAATAGTAGCCAGGACACCAAAAGCACTTAATAAATAGTGGTTAATTATATAAAGTGGTACATGACTTGGAGCCCAGGGGAAGACAGCTATCATGGCAAGAGTTCAGAGGAAAGAGTGTATGGTGGCACAGATCTGTCAGGGAGGGCTCCGGAGGGAAGGGATCCTGGAGCCAGGCCTTGAAAGATGGTCACAGTCAGAGAGATGGGAAGTGGAGGGCTTCGGGCAGTGAGGACAGAGTGAGGAAAGTGTTTGAAAAACTCAGACAGGTGTCTGCGGGAAAGTTTCATGCTGGGGGAAAGGTAGGGTTGATTTTATCAGCAATGGAGAGCCATAAAAGGGGAGCAGTGACCATGATGACCTTGATGATGGTGATGGTGGTCGTGGAGGGGGGTGCCTAACTTACTCTTTGCAAATTCCTTTCCTAAACACTTTACACACAGAAACTCATCCAATCCTCAGCCATCCCATGAGGCAGGTGTGATTATTATACCCACTATGCACATATGGAAGCCATTTTCTAGACATATTTCAAGATGCCTCAAATGACTGGATGCTCAGGCCAGAGCCTGGCTTTCTAGAAGCACAGAGAAAGCCCACAGACTTGAGCAACAGATTTGGATAAAGCTTCTGCCTCGCCTTGCTTTGGCAGCTTCCACTTCCTGTGTAGATGCCCCCAAACGAAAAGCCCTTAAATCCTAAGTAATGCTCAAATCCTTCATCTCTGCCTCCAGTTGTGAGGAATATGAATGCCCTCAGCACCAAACACTTCTGCTTCCTCAAGTAAGTTCCCAAGAAGGAAAGGAAGTGGGCAGACTTCTCAGTTCTGTAATTTTTGAGACACATAGTTACTACTCTCCATTTTCCACTTTGTGTGCTGCATGATTAACTGTGCACTGGGGAAAGACTGGCCACATTCACGCTAAGCACAGACCTCCTGAGTGATGTGGTTCTTGGGTTGCCAGGAAAAAAGGCCACAAAGAACGGTTGTACAGGTTGTTCACTGCACAAGGGTGCCCAGCAAGAGGACAAATGGGGGCTGCATCCTCCAGAAAAGGGCATCTTTTTCTAATTCAACAGAGCGTCTGTATGAAATAGTGGTGAGGAGGGAGCCTTTACCCCACTCTCCTCCAAAAAACAAAAACAAAAACCAACAGCAACACATCTCTCCAAAGAGTTCTGCCCTTATCTGAAAGTAGTAGCCCTTTTTAAACCTGCAAATCAGCCTCTCAGCTTAAGCCTTAGAGAACCTCTCCACCCTAGACTCTTTCCTTTTCGTGGTTAAAAATAAGGACTTTGAAATGAGAAAGACCTAGCTTTGAATCTCAGAGCTGCCCATTACTATCTCTAATGCAGGCTTGGGTACACTGCTTTACCTCTTTAAGCCTCGATTTCCACCTCCATAAAACGGAGATACTAATAGAATCTACTTCCTTTGTTGTTGTAAGGATTTAATGCAATAACACACATACAGTGATGTGCATGCACCAAGTGTGCCCAAATGGTAGATATTACAAATACTAGAGTAGTCTGGCTTAGGAGCTAGGGAGAAGACAGGGAGGGGTATATATTATGGGCTGTGTGGAAGGAAGGAAAGAAGAGCAAGAAATAGAAAAAGGTATAGAACTGGAGGCAGAGGATACAAAAGTGAGACTTTGTTTGCCTGGTGGTCATTGGCCAAGGGGTCAATCTCCCTTCTTCCCTGGAGTCTCTTTTCTAGCCCTTGCTTTGCATCCCCCTTGCCCTAATTTATGAGGGAGGAGCCTGCTGTGGCTTGTGGTGAATGGGTGACGTTACCAAAAGAGAAAAAGGAACTCTTCCCCTCAACTGGCCCTTTTCTGGGTTCAGAATGCTTCCTCACCGATATTGGCATAAGCCTCCCTGGTCTCTTCATCACCTTCCATGTCACACAACAGTTTGCTGAACTGTTCGCAGTTGATGGTGTCCATGTCGGGTTCTGGAGGGAAAAGCCCCATGGATGAAGCAGGAAAGGTTTGGGAAGAGGGCTGGTGGGGAAGGAAGGAGAGGCGGGGCGGGGCTGGGAGAAGTCCCCTTGGAAAGCAAACAACACGCTAGCGTTTGGAGCTGTCCGCGGTGCTGACCAGAGCTCTGCGACCGGAACGTTGCCCAGTTGCTGACTGTCTCCACCGCAGGCTGAGGGGGGTGAGGAAGGACTTGGGAGGGGCCAGAGGGAGGAGAGCCCACCTGAGCAGAGCTCAATCTCTTCTCTAGCCAGGTCCGTCTGGTCATAGAGGTGGTAGAGCTGCAAGGGATCGGCACTGCTGTTGAGAAGCTCCAGGTACCCGCCTTCTAGAGACCCCAACTCCATGGCGGCACACTGTCCGCTGCCTGGAAGGAAGACACATTTAGTCAGCGCAGGGAGCATTGGAAAGATGTAGAGAATTAACACCTACCATAGCTCCTAGCTGGGTCACCTGGTGAAGGCCAGGGTTTGGGAGAGCCAAAGAAAGTGAGCAGAAGTACTCATTCAGCACCTCTTATAAGCTCTGGGCAGTGGAGAGAGCAAGTCATATCTCCTTCCTCCAAGGAACTTATAATCGCTCTGAGAAGATGCCCACCATACAGGGAAGGGAAGTGGGGAAGTGTAGATTCAAGACACCTTACACCTGGGATCCAGGAAACTTGAGGTCCACATCTAGTGCTGCCATGAGTGATAACAGTTGAGATTTGTAGAGCACCTACCTTGTGCCAGACACATGGGCTAGCACATTCCATTCTCACATCAACAATCATATGAGGTAGATACTCTTTAATATCCTCACTTTCCACATGAAGACCCTGAGGATCAGAGATGTGAGGTGACTTACATAGGTGACCCAAGTCCAAGTGGAACCCAGATCTGGTTCTGGGCATGCTGACGCAAGGATATGCAGTTAAGTCCTATGCTCTATCTACTGCCTTGGGTGACCTCGAGCAAGTCTCTGCTCCTCTTCATGCCTCAGTTTCCTAATCTGTAAACTGAAGGAGTCGGGGCAGATTCTAAGATGCCTCATTTGGTGAAGGGCATATCAGATACCTTAGATACCACTTCATTCAATCTTCCAAACACCCTAGACATGTCCACACAAAAACTTGTGTATGAAATTTCATAGACACATAATTCATAATAGCCAAAATATGGACACAACTCAAGTATCTATCAATAAATGAATGAATAAACATACAATGGAATACCATTCAGCCATAAAAAGAATAAAGTACTGACACAGGCTACAACATGAATGGAACTTGAAAACATGACAATCAGGGAAAGAAGCCAGACACAATGGGTCATAGATGGTATGATTCCATTTATATGGAATGTGCAGAATAGGTAGATCTTTACAGATAAAGTAGATTAGTGGTTGGTTAGGATTGGGAGAGAGTTGTGGAAAAAACTGGGGAGCAAATGATCACAGAGGTGGGGCTTCTTTTGGGGGGATGTCAAAATGTTCTTTAGCTAATGCGGGGATGGTTGTACAACTGTGTGAATATACTAAAAAGACCACTGAACGGTGCATTTTAAATGAGTGAATTGCGGGACACCCTGGTGGCTCAGTCAGTTAAGCATCCAATTCTTGATTTCAGCTCAGGTCATGATCTCAGGGTCCTGGAATTGAGCCCTGTATTGGGCTCCACGCTCAGCAAGGAGTTTGCTTGAGATTCTTCCCCTCTCCCTCTGCCCCTTCCCCACTCTGTCTTTCTAAAAATAAATAAATATTTTTTAAAAAGAAATAAATGGGTGGGGGCGCCTGGGTGGCTCAGATGGTTGGGCGTCTGCCTTTGGCTCAGGTCATGATCCCAGGGTCCTGGGATCAAGCCCCACGTCTGGCTCCTGGCTCAGCGGGGAGCCTGCTTCTCCCTCTCCCTCTCCCTCTCCCCCTGCTCATGCTCTCTGTCTCTCTCTACCTCTCTGTCTCAAATGAAAAAGTAAAATCTTCAAAAAAAATAAAATAAATGGGTGAATTACACACTATGTGAATTACATCCCAATAAAGCTGCAAAAGCGAAACAAAAACCCACCCAGGAAGATAGGCATTATTGTTTCCATTTCGCAGATGAGGCCAACTAGCCTCCCTGATAATATGCAGTTCTTGCTGGCTAGAGCCACTCTGAAGGCTCATGCTTCCTGCTCCACTCCCTAGTGGGTTCATTTCCCAGACCCCCTGTAACAAAGTACCACAAACTGAGCAGCTTAAAACAACAGAGCCTTAGTCGCTCACAGTTCTGGGGGCCAGAAGTCCAAAATCAAGGTGTTGCCAGAAGCTCTAGGGGACAGTCCTTCCTTGCCTCTTGTAGCTTCTAGAAACTCTCGGCATTCCTTTACTTGTGACTGTGTGGCCGAATCACTGTAATCTCTGCCTCAGTGGTCCCATCGTCTCTTCTTCATGTCTCAGATCTTCTGCCCCTCTCTTAAAAGGACACTTGCCACTGGGTTTAGGGCCCACCTGCATAACCCAAGATGATCTTATTTCAAGGTCCTTAACTTGATTACACCTGCAAAGACGCTTTCTCCAAATAAGGTCACATTCACAGGTTCTAGGGATTTGATGTGGACGTATCTTCTGGGGGCCCCCATTCAACCTCCTATACATGAAATGCAGACACTTGCTGGAAGGACCCAGAGTTTCTTGGAAGAGGCAAGAGGAGAGCTGGCCTTGAAGGCCAGAGGACCTGCCGGAGCCTTCTGAGTGCCCCTGCTTGGGCCACAAGAAAGTGGAGGTGAGGGAGAAGGACCAAAGAGGGTAGGGGGGTTGGGAGAACACACACACACACACACACACACACAACTCACCACTGCCTTCCAGCTGCTTCTTTTCATTTGATTCATTAACAATGCTCACTACCTATGGAGGGTCTCTGCACAGACCCCAGATATCACGGAGAATGAACTTTCCAGGCCATCATGGGGCCCTGGCTGAGGCTGCCTGTTGATAACGTGTTGGGTGGGGGCCGCAGGAACCCAAACATCACAGACTTGCCTCAAAGGTCCAGCCAGCCATGACTGGAGGAAGCGGAACCGAAAGATGGGGTCCCCACCCTTTTCTTGTCATGAAGCCAAGCCTGGACGTCAGAGGAGAAGAATTCCACCCCTCCCAGCACAGTGGCTTGAGACCAGAGAAGAAATCTGTTCTCTCCAGGGAGGTAAGAAAAGACCCCCCTCCACCCAAATCTTGCCGGGTGCCTTCCTCCTCTTTTCAGTCTGGGGTATTTATGGACAGCTTACATTGTAGCAATCCACCTCTTTTTCCAGGCAGCCAGATCTGGAGACAACAGCTCTGGATTGAGCCTAACCATTTCACCAATGAGTTGGGTGACTTTGGTCAAGTTCCCCAAACTGTGTTTTCACAGGGTAACAGGTCTGCCAGGGGCCTTCAAGTCCAACCTCCTTCACTCTACAGAGCAGATGAGACCCTGAGAAGGGACGTCACTTGCTCAAGGCCCCATAGCCTGTCCCTGGCCAAGCCTGCACCTGATCCCTCCCAAGCACAAGACTCTCAGTCCAGTGCTCTTTCCTGCCGATCAAAATGTTTCCATTCAATGAACAATCCCCGTCATATCTAGGCCCAGGAATAGGGAGGGACCAGGTCCTATTGCAGAAGGGTGACGGCAGGAGGTGCCATGGAGAGGAGCTTGAAGAAGTATAACCCAGCCCCACTATTGATGGGCTCAGCTTCAAACTTTGGACAGCATTGCCAAATGCGATCAGACCCCAGAGAAACACACTGACGGAAGAGAAAAAAGCCAACTTGCGTGAGCTTGGGAGTCAAATTGCCTGCCTCTGAAATCACTCCTACCTACCAACTCACCACAACCTGGGTAGGTTCGTTTTATCAACCTCCTGGAGCCTCAGTTTCCTGATCTGTAAAATGGGAATAATAACTGGTAACTCATTAGGATCCAGTGAGTTAATTCTCATAAAGCCCTCAGAAAGGTGACTGGCACTTAGCAAGAATTTAGGGAATGGTGGCTTAGAATGGCATCCAGCACATACATAGTAAACAAATGTGGGAGATGGCCATCATCACCACTATCATTATTTATGATTATTAATTCGCTTCTAAGCTCTGTGGGGTTGACAAAGGGGCCCTTTCTCTTTCATTCCTCCATAAGTCACAACATTGTGAAGCCAAGCTTTCCGTTCTTTTACTTAAGGAGATCCCACAGACCCCATAGGAATAAGAAAATCCCACAGCCAGCAGTGCAGCCTGGGAGGTCTGCTCATGTCCCCCATCGCTACCACTGAGGAGTGCCTGGGAAAAAAGTCATCCATGGGCCCAAGTTCTGTGTCACTGGCTAAACCCAGACAAGAAGACATTTACTCTTGGGGTGCCTGGGTGGTTCAGTCAGTTAAGCGTCTGGCTCTTGATTTCCACTCAGGTCATGATCTCAGGGTCGTGAGATCGAGCCCCACATTGGGCTCCATGCTGAGCATGGAGCCTGCTTAAGATTCTTTCTCTCACTCCCCCTCTGCTCCCAATCCCTCCACTCATGTGCACTTTCTCTCTCTCAAGAAGAAGAAAAAGAGGACATCCACACTCAGATATCCCCAACATATACCTCCACACCTTCCTTCCAGCTACCCCAAGATGAACCCTGCACCTTATGCACTTATCTTGAGTATACAGGGATTTCCAACTCATAATGGGCTTCTGCCTCCACCCCACCCCCTCAGCTGAGCTCCCAAAGAGCTCTAGGGAGAAGGCAGGATTTAATGCCCATTTGATAGATGAGGGTAGTCAAACACTTCCGTGAAATGGCTTGTCCAAGGTCACCTGGTTGGAGAGTTTTCATCTGAATCCTGGTTAGGAGGCATTAAGCAAGTGACTTCACCTCTCTATCAGTTTTCCCACTACTAGATCAGGATATTGACACTTCCCTTGTGGGACCATTGAAAGGCCAAGAGAAGCTCTTGGAGGCACACAGGAGGCCCACAGTCAAAGGAATCCCATGATGTTGGGATGCTGCAGAGCTGGGGCTCTGTTCTGGAGTCTAGTCTCCTGGTCTCGACCTCCCAAAGCCAGTGTCTCCCATTCATGCCCAGATCGACTTACATCTTGGCTTGGGACCAGCGTTCCCACAACCAGGTTCCTTATGTCTCTCTCTAGATGTTTAGGAAGTGCTTCAGAGGCTCCTGATTGGACTCTTTCCCCCACATGTCACTCTAGAGGGGACTGGGGACAGAGATGGCTCAAATCACCCCACTGCAGAGGACAGGGAGCCCTTCAGCTGCCCCAGCACTAGGCAAATCACACAGGCCAGGAGTCCTGTGAGGGAAGGAGCCCTGTCTGTCTAGCTCACCTATCCCCAGACTCCAGCATGCTCTTGCACATAGCAGGCTCTCTCCACCCATAAAAGTGATGCATAACTAGAATTCACAGGTGCCCGCTGAGCACCAGGCACCAAATGACATGATGTGTAGACCTTATTCCATTCAGTCTAACACACACATTTGTGATTTGTCTTCCCATTTCTCAGATAAAGAAACAGCTGAGAAAAGACTGGTAGGATCTGAGCCAGATTCCTGGCTGCAAAACCATGGCTTCTTGCCCTTGCCTGGTGACAGGAGGCATGGGTGACAAGATGATTTCTCCTTTTGAGGAGCTGTCTGGGGCACCACAGAGAAGTGGTCTGTGTCTTTTTGGTAAATGAACGGTATTTTTAGAAGGTCCTCTTTGAACCCGCCCTTCCCCCTGGGCTACCACCTTCCACATCCAACTTGAGAAAAAGTTCCTAATCTCTTGGCCACCAAAAGTCCCTTTGGGGGGTTCATTTCCGTCCCCATTTTGTACTACACCACAGGTTTTGAAAGACCGTAGGCACCAAGATGGTTCCTGGAATAAATTCATTTCTCTCTCCCCTGAGGGAAATCA